TATGGGGGTTAACTCTTCTTTGAAAGTTTTATAGAATTCAGAGGTGAAGCCATCAGGGCCAGGGCTTTTCTTTGTTGGAAGGTTATTTATTACTGATTCGATCTCCTGGCTTGTTATGGGCCTATTCAGACTTTTTATATTCTCCTGATTCAATATTGGTAGATTATATGTGTACAGGAAATTGTTCATCTCATCCAGATTGTCTTGTTTCTTGGCATATGGTTGTTCTTAGTATCCTTTAATGGTGCTTTGTATTTCCACTTAGTCTTTTGTTATATTGCCTGCCTCATTGCAGATTTGATTCATCTGGTTCCTTTCTCTCTTCTTAATAAGTCTCGCTAGTGGTGTATCAATTTTGTTTATCCTTTCAAAGAACTAGCTTTTACTTTCATTTATTTTCTGTATAGTATGTTTGTTTTCTATTTCATTTATTTCTGCTTGGATCTTTATTATTTCCTTTCTCCTGAAATTTTTTGGATTTTTTTGCTGTTCCTTTTCCAATTCTCTGAGGCTTGATGTTAGGTAATCCATTAGCCTTATTTCTGTCTTCCTCTTATGTTCACTAATTGCTATGAACTTCCCTCTTATGACTGCTTTAGCAGTGTCCCAAAGATTATGGAAACTTGTGTCTTCACTGTCATTGGTTTCCATGAATATTTTGATTTCAGTCTTTATTTCTTCAGTAATAATGGGGTCATACAGGAGTAGGTTATTTAGTTTCCATGTTTTTAGGTATTTTTAAGGATTTCTCTTAAAATTAAACTCAAGTTTAATTCCATCATGGTCAGAGATGATGCTGGAAATAGTTTCTGTGCCTCTGAATCTGCAGAGGCTTGCTTTGTGTCCTATGATATGGTCAATCTTCAAGAAAGGTCCATGTCGGGGTGAGAAAAAACTTTATCTTGTGATTTTTGGGTGGAAAGTTCTATAGATGTCTGTTAAGTCCATTTGATTTATGGTACATTTAGATCCTTTATCTCTTTACCTATTTTTTGCCTAGATGATCTGTCCAGAGGGGATAATGCGGTGTTGAGATCTCCAACAATTAATGTGTTGCAGTTTATCTCCCCTTTCAGATCTAATGGTCTTTCCTTCACATATCTGGGTGCTCCTGTGTTAGGAGCATAGATATTAATAAGTGTTATATCTTCTTGATCTATAGAGCCTTTTACTACGATATAGTGCCCTTCTTTGTCTCTTCGAACGGTTTTTCTTTTAAAGCCTGTTTTGTCAGAAATTAGTATTGCAACTCCAGCTCTTTTTTGGTTCCCAATTGTGTGGAAAACCTTTTTCGAACCCTTCACTTTTATTCTATGTATGTCTTTCTCCATGAAGTGGGTTTTCTGTAGGTAACAGATAGAGGGTTTGTTTTTTTATCCATTCAGCCAGTCTGTGTCTCTTGATTGGAGAATTTAAACCATTAACATTCAATGTTATTATAGATGTTACAGGATCTGTACCGACATTTAAGTTGGCCATTGTCTTAGTTGCCTGTTATTTCTTTGTTTCTGGCTCTTGATTCCTTAGTTTTCCTGGAACAGTATTTTCTTCAGGGTTTCTTGAAGAGCTGGTCTGGTGTTGACAAATTCTTTCAGGTTTTGTTTGAGAAGATTTTAATCTTTTTGTCCCAAATGAAGGATAATCTTGCAGGGTATAATAGTCTTGGCTGAAATTGTTTCTCTCTTAACACTTTCAATATGTCTTCCCATTCTTTCCTTGCTTGCATTGTTTCTGATAAGAGGTCTGGTGTTAGCCTTATGGTATGGCCTTTGTAAGTTACTTCTCGTTTCTCTCTTGCCAGTTTTAGTATAATGTTTTT